GCCGCGGCGGGCGGGGCGGGGGGGGGGGGGGGGGGGGGGGGGGGGGGGGGGGGGGCGGCCGTGAGGCATGGGATACAGCAAGGCAAATACCGGCACGAAGGAACCTGGCATGCACAGCCGGCTTCTAGCCGGCGGAGCGCGCATCACCCCATCCCCGTCCCGCCCACCCATGCCAGGCACGCACCTCGTCAGACGCGGTGGGTGCGACCGGCGCGGCCTCGGCCTCGGCCTTCTTTTCGTTCTCGGTCCCCAGGTCCCCTGTGACCGGCCGCCCGCTGCCATCCTCGGCACCAAACATGGCCCACTCGTCTTCTGCGGCGGCGGCGGGTGCAGGCTCGGGCCCCGCCGCTGCAGGTTGAGGGAATCGGGGCGTGGAGGCATTGGCACGGCAAGAGGCAGCAGGAGCTCAGGGTGTTGCAGGATCCAGCCAGTTCCCGGGCCCCGACAGCAGCAGAGGGCGATCCTGCAGTGCTTGGGCCTGCGCTGTACTCATACTTCGCCCCTTCCCCTGCCAAATGCTGGGCCACATCGCATGAGGAGACACTGCCGCGCCCACCTGGCGGCGGCGCATCGGGCACGGCCCCCTCGAAGGCCGGGGGCGGGGCCCCGACGGGCTGCTGCTGCTCGACCACCACGGGGGCCCTGGCGGGCGCCCGGCGCAGCGCGCGCAGTGGGGGAGGGGGCAGCGCGTCCGGCGGGATGGCGAAGCTCACGCCCTCCAGGGGTGAAGTCCGGCCGTTGAGCCTGCAGAGGGACATGGGTTTTGGTGGTGGGGGATCACAGGGGAGGAAGACTGCATGAAGTCCACTCTCGCCGACGCAGTGGCCGCACGAGAGCAGCGCAGCTGCCAACACCGGTACGGACGGAACTGGCTGAGTGGGGGATCCCCTTCAGAATCCACCCTTATCCCCCCTCTCAAAAATAAGAAACACTCACTCTGCTGCTGCTGCGGCGGCCTCCTCCGCCGCGTGCGTGGCCTCGTCCCCGGCGACGCTCCCCGCCTCGCTCGCTCCCCCACCCCGCGCGCCCTTGACCAGGCGCCGGAACTGGCGCTTGGCGTCGGTGGTGGACACGGGCATGGACAGCCGGACGCGGTCGTCCAGGGGCGCGTGGCGGAAGCCGGGCGGGAGCCGGTCCAGGCCCAGGCTTAGTAGGTCGTCCAGCGCGGCATAGATCTCAGGGAAGCGCACCGCCACCTTGGCGGGGGTGAGCGCGGAGCCGCGGAGGAGGCCCGCCACCACGCGGTGCACGGCGTCGAGCGCTTCGAGGCACAGGAAGGCGGAGGCGGAGGGCAGGGTGACCAGGGCCAGGAGGACGCCGTGGACCAGGCGGTACGTCACAGTGTACCGCTCGCCCAGCACCGCCAGGCGGCCGGCGGCGCCGTGGGGCGGGAGGTCGCCAGACCTGTCCAGGAGGAGGTGCTCCATCTCCGGGTCATTGACAGCATGGGCTGCTCAAAATCGGCGTACGTGGACAATGCAGACCCACACCAGGCGGCACCCTCCCTCCTTCAAAGCCAGGGACTCGTGTCTACTCTTGCCTTGGGCAGCATCACCAAGCACAACTCCAAACCAGCCCCTGGCATGCTCATGGTGTGACCTCTTCCCACCAACCTACCCGTCATTGGCAGGGGATTGGGCGAGGTAGGAGGCGATCACCTGCCCCGCCTCGGCCACCGCGTCACAGGCCGTGAGGAAGTGGATGCCCTTCCTGCAGGGGGTGACGACGCGTCGATTCGGCGATCACAGAACGGCATGAGACATTGATATGAGTGTACCAAACAGCTCGGTACTCACGCTTGCACCAGGACGTTGCCACGGCTCTGGTCCTGGACTGGGCGAATGGCCAGGGCCAGATCCAGCCCGGCCACCATGGCGACGCGGAGGGCGCAGGGTCCCGACTTAGCCCGTTTCTACCGAGATCTCGAAACAGACCCGCGTCTCGGTCCCGGATCAGAGCTTTGCAGCAGACCGGCCTCCGCGTTTGAGGGGTGGTTGGGTCTGTGACACTAGAGGTGGGCAGCGACCCAGCACCGACTCGACACTTGCTGCTGCGACCTCCTAGCCATTCTGTTTCACGAGCACGCTGGGGGTGCCGCCTGCCATGATCTCGAGAGCGTTCGCCGAAAGGTTCGATCACTCCAGTCAAGAATTGCGCGCGCTGGATCTGCGAATTCGGTGGTGCACCCCGCTTGACGAGCACTGTTTGGCTGCTGATTTGCGCCAAAACCTGGTCTCATTGCGGTTGCAAGTCAGCGGCAAAGCATTGCCGATCAGCGCTGGGACATCGATGAACCAGCACCTGCATGGGTGATGGGTGCATTGTCACCTGGTCAGCTCGTCACCCAACTGTCAGAAGCATTGGCACCTCGAGGCTTCGACATCATCAGTCCATTAGCACTGAGCTGGTGTGTGACAGACCTGCCCATGTATTTAGTTCTTTCTCATCCCCCAGTTTCTCTTGAGACCTGCACGATGGGGCAAGAAATTCTCACTGACTTCCCCCCCTTGTCGTGCAAGCAATGGCATCAACCTCGAGTAATATGCCCCCACCCACCCCAGGTACAACGACTCGCTGCCCGGCACCCTCTCCTCCAATCGCATTCGTCCCGCTGGTAGGGCTGGCAGTGCTGCATTCGCAGTCCTGGTGGGCAGCAGCGCCGTGCTGTGGCGCCCCTTTCTGCAGCACTGCGCCGCGAATGGGGAGTGGGCGGCGCTGCCGCACCCACTGGAGGCCTACGTCGAGTGCGCCGTGAGCGCTGTGCTGGCCAGGTGTGGTACTCTTGTTCTGCTGTGTGCTTGATGGGCATGACTGGTTAGATCGAGTCGCGAGGAATGGTGCATGCTGGCAGTGGTACAGGCATGGCACATGACCTGGGCTGTGCCGGCGTCCAGACGAATCGCCCTGATCGCATCAGCTGGCATTCTTCCACCACCACATCCCATTCCCACCAATACACCTTCTACAGTCCATAGCCTCCCTCCCACATCAACGCAGTCTGCCCCAGCCCCCTGCACGTGTCGTCTGGTCCCACTCCCAGACCGACTGCCTCGCCGGCGAGGCACCGGGGTACGTGGCCATGCAGCGAGCGGCCGTTGCAGCAGGCACAGCGTGGCTGGACCCCTGCAGCCACCTGCTCGTGCACCCGCGCCACGGCCCCTGGCTCTCCCTGCGCTGCCTCCTCCTCTTTGACGACCTGGCCTGGGCCGAGGCCCAGCCGCCGCCCCTGCCCTGTCCCCTCGCCCCGGGCGTGCAGCAGGCGGTGCGGGCCCGCTTCGAGGCCGCGCTGCATGCCACGAGCCGCGGCTCGATCCCCCAGCGGGACCAGGTCCAGCGGGTCTGGGAGATGTGGGTGGCCACGCGGGAGGCCCTGAGCCCAGGTGACACTCGGGTGGCGATGGCGTGGCGGCTGAGGGGAAGTCTGAGGCAATGTACTGCTGGGACGGGTCATATGTCTGCACCCCAGTCCTCCATCGACGGGCTGGTAGCCAGCTAGAACCACGTGTTGGACGCGGCGCCTCTCTGGACCCCGGCACTGCACAGGGCACCCTGGGAGGTACTGCGACAGCCAGCTGCAGTACCACTACACCCGCAACAAGGTCGTCCTGCGGGACACCATGGAGGCTGTGTCGGCCACCCAGTAACATGTTGCAATCCTTGCAAGAGAAGGGACACGGGTGACTGACGGCGTGCAGAGTCCGGCAGAACACTGCTTCCTCGGCATTCTTAGCTTTACAGCCAGGGCGTGCATCTGTCTGCGTGGCTGGAAAAGGGGTCCAGTCCGATAAAAATAGGCGGGAACACAGGTCAGGGTCTCAGAGTTTCCAGGAGAAGGTCAGGTCGATGGTCTGGGTAGAATGATACACTGCGAGGGAGGGGAGCTCGTTGTCGGCACATGGTCGTCGCACCGGCGTGCCCCGCTCGGCAGTCATGCAGCGGGGGAAGTGTGGGGCCCGCAAGCCTCTTTCGCACATTGCCAGCCGCCTCACGCCAGTCATGCAGGCTGGGCCCTGCGTGCTGCCGCCTGGCTGGGCCAGGACGAGACCCGCCTGTGTGGGCTGAGGTCCGGGCGGCGCCTGCCCTCCTGTCCTCACGAGGCCTGGGCCTGCAGGGAGGCCCGAGGGGACAGAGGCCCGAACCCAGTGCCGAGGCGGCGCGCCACGGGCGTGCTGAACCCCCCGCCGCCGCCCGAGGAGCTCTCCGCCTCCGACCCGGCGCCGTCCTCCTCCGTGTTCTCGCTGCGCCAGTGCGAGGGCGAGAGGACGGCCTGGGGCGACAGGGACGCGCGGCGCCCACTGGCCAGCAGGCTGCGCTCCCCCTCCTCGATGCAGCTGACCAGCGCGCTCTGCTGGGCCTGGAAGAAGGCAGGGGCGATTGCAAGTGAGGGGGGCGCGGGTGAGAGGAGGGGGTTTGCGGAAGGGCTCCGTTGTGCCTGCCAAGTGCACGGTCGAAAACTCTGCTGCGCGCGCCAGGACTGCACCGCCCCTCTCCCCCCTCGCTCCACCCGGCCCGCGACTCACCAGGCCGGCCTTCTCCAGGGCGGCCACCCGCGCCCGGAGCAGCATGTTCTCGTTGTCCACCTGGGTCGCCCGATCCTGCTCCACGCTCAGCGTGTCGGTCAGGTGGGCGATCAGGGCGGTGTGTGGACCCAGGGGACTGACGTTCTGGTCCATGTCGCCGCTGGCTTGCTCTGCGGCGCGGGAGGGGGGTGGGGGGGGTGGATGACGAGATGGGGCCGATGATGAGAACGCGGATGCGTGGCGTGAGTGTGAACATCTACCAATTCAGCATGGTTTGGAAGAAGTGGTACAGGCCGTGCTCTGTACGGTGGGTTTCTGCCTGAGAACTGCACCCCGTACCTGCAGCAGGCGCTCACTCCCGGCCCCTGGGCCCGGCCCCCAACCCACCCACCATTCATGGCCATGGTCAACTGGTTTCGGAGCAGGGCGTTCTCGTCCGTCAGGTACTGCGATTCTCGCTGCAGCTTCTGCATCGCCGCCTGCATGGCGGCCTTCTCGGCGTGCAGCTGCTGCACCAGGCTCGACAACTGCTGGGCCTCCTCAACCGCCACAGACTCTGCCACCTCCACCTGGGGCGGATGATGGGATGTGTGTGGCCAGCGGGCTGCGGGGGATGAAATCGGGCCATGGAAGCTCTCGAGGTAAAAAGGGAAGAACTCCGAACCGTCAACCGACCTTGCTCTTCTCTCCCCGGACATTGTCCAAGTCCGACATCAGGGCAGCGGTTTCGTCCCGAAGAGCATCCACAGCCCGGTCACGCGCCCGCAGCGCCTGCTCCGCCATCGCCAGGAAAGACTCGACCTGACTGTATTTTATGTACTGCCCCGGATGCTGGCCATCACGCGGCGTCGCGGGCATGGCGAAGCCGGGAGCTTCGAACAGACTGTCGCTGGCGAGTTGACAGGAGTCCCGAAAGGCAGCTGCCACAGTCGGCACCTGGGCCCGTAGTCGCTCCTCCATGCCTAGATTATGTGCGAATTGTAAATGTAGACCTTGTACGACGCCCCTTCCCCGGGCGAGCATATGTGCCCAGCAGTTCCGCTTTCTTCCACCGGTCCGTTGGGGTCCTGAGGTCCCGGGAGCGCGCAACTCCCAGATCATGAGGGCGACGACACGGGCCATGCGCGGCCTCATGCACTGCGGCGGGGTGGTACTCGGCACAATCAGCGCATATTGACACCATGGCAACCCTGACTGCCCTGCATGCACCCTCCATTTCCAGGGCATGCCCTGGTATCCCTGGCTTTACTGCCAGGATGATGGCGCTCCCGCAGGCACGCAGACCCCTGTTCAGCCTTCGCAAGGCGGCCATGCCTGCGCGGATATCACAAGGACCAAGGAGCAGGCGTGAGTGTGACGCGGGGGTTGCACATGGCCGCGCAATTGTTGGGGTGAGTGGCTGAGGCCATGTCATGGAGGCCCCTCCCTGCCACTCAGACACCTGTCACCTGCATCGGCCCTCCAGGTGCTCAAGCCTCCTCATCGACAGCCTCTGGCAGCTTCACTCCCGCAATCGCTCCGGAAGACCTCCCCAAAGGTGAGTGCATGGGGCGGATTGAAACCCAGGGAGCGTTCATGACTGATCTTGCAGGCAGGCATGGGGTGTGCCTCAACCCCTGGCGCAAGAACACAGCACCCAGGGCTTGTGTGAACCAACTCTTCCTAATCCATCTGCAGGGGAGAGGAAGGAGGTGCGCATCAACGGCACCAGCATCCTGCTGCTTTGGTACCGTGACACCATCTATGCCCTGGAGGCTCGGTGAGGGAGTGGAGGCCTGACATGGTCATGGGAACGATGGGCATGGTGCAGGGCAGAATACCACAGGTCGGCCATGCATGGCCTGATGTGCCCAAAGGACGACCCATGGATTGTCCCGATCAACCTCACGACCCTCCACTGAAGGTCGCCTGCGGAGGGCGCATACAGCGAGGGCCTGATCAAGGCCAAGCTGACGCAGAACTACGGCATTGAGTGCCCCGCCACCGGCACCGTCTTCTCCCTCAAGGATGGGTCCATTCTGGAGTGGTACCCCACCAACCCGGTGCTTCGAGTCCTGACCCCCTCCAACACCTGCCGCCCCCTCCGCATCTTCCCGGTGCAGCTGAAAGAGGTGCGGTGGGTGTGTTTTGGGGGAGGCAAGACCTGGAGTCGGTGGTTTTCTTTTTGGAGTGAGTAAGTAAGAAGGTGTGTGAAGGCTAGAAGTGCAGTTCGATTTAATACCCCTGGAAGCAGGGCAGCGCCGCTCCCGTCCCTCTTCCTTCTCATCACACAAAAGTATCCCCTTCCTCATTTGCAAAACCAGCACACACACTATCGCATCCACCCGCAGGATGCAATCTACGTGGACGTATCCACCGGAGACTCGGGTCCCGGCTGGCGGGCCGCAAAGGGTGGGGCAGAGGTCCCGCTGGCAGACGACGTGTACACCCTCCAACCCAAGTCCTACGTCCAGGAGGAGGGCGACGCAGGTGAGAGGGGGAATGGGTGCGCAGAGTGCCATTGCAGAGCCTCCCTGGAAAGGCTGAATTGTTAGCATACTTGGCAGGGGGGGGCATCGCGCGGTGGACATCCGGGTCCATGAGCTTGCTCCCGAAGGAGACCAGTGCCTCCGGGGCTTGGCATGCACGCCCAGGCCGCCCAATCCCATCCTCCCAAGAAGCTCATGCCAAACACCACACCACTCCGCTCCAGGGTCAAGGGGCGATGCATGGGGCAGCCAGGTGAGCAAGGCTGCCGTGGTCAGTGTCACCGCGCTCGCCACCCTGGCAGTCCTAGTTGTAGGGTGGGCGCTCTTCAGGTACCTCACCGGCGAGTGAGTGATTGCGAGCTTGCATGCGGTGAGGTGGCGGAGCGCTGCCCCACGAGCTTCAACCCTCCCGGTGTGCTATGTGAGCCTCTGTGAGCTTGACAGACTTAAAGGGACAGTGCATCTGATGCCGCTGGGGTAAGGTGGGTGCACCCCGCCCTCCCAGCCTCGGCAGACCACCGCATGAATCCACAAGGCCATCACGAGCTTGTTGAGTCAAGCCGTCACTCGCGTTGCGGGGGCCCCGGAAGGAAGGGGGGCCGCTGCCGGCAAGCCTTCCTCACCCGCCTCAACCTCGTCCTCGGACACTTTGAAAAAGGTGTAGGAGAGCGTGAGGGCATTGATATGCTTCAGGCGCGGGTCTGTGGCGTATTCTGGGTCCACGTAGAAGAAGATGGGCATGTCGATGGACTCGCCCGGCCTCAGCTTCTGTTCCTGCATGTACGAGGGCAGGGTGCCGCGGTGGTGCAGGGGAGATTGTGAGCGTTGAGGATCAGGGCAGAGGGGCTCAGACCTTGCAGACATGGTGTCAGGCATGTGGCTGCCCTGACCAGACTGACATATGACATCTGGTACTTGTTCCTGCACAGTCTTCTCCGAGAAAGCAATAATTACAGTAAATAATAGTAAAGAGCGCCTCCAAGCCTGGCCCTGTGCCATGTAAACTCCGCTATCGGTAGTTGACGGCCCAATCCAACTCCTCCTACCTCGAAGCAAAAACACTGGATTTTGTTAAAGTACACGCCGGCTTGCATCGGGGTGACATTGTATGTTGAGACTCCTGTGATGGCATGGTCGCTGAGGTTTGTGGCCGTGTAGAACGCCAGTGAAGACTCCCCAGGTCGAATCTGTGCCGGGTGCGAGGATAGGGAGGGGTGTGCTAACAATCGAGGTACAAGAAACACGGATTGCACTGCATGACTGCAAGGTTTCAGAGAGGACAATGAATGCTCATCGATGCAGGAGGCGAACTACGTCGAGACGGCTGAAGTTGCTCTCATAGGCCCCTCTAAACATCACAGTGCCTCCCAACGCTCCCGCGATGCAGAAAGGTTCGACCATCCGCCCTTTCCTGGCTCTGGTAGCATACCACAGCTACTGACCTTGATGCTGCGCTGCGTGGGAACAAACTTCCAGGGCATGCCGTCCGAGACATCGGCGTTGAAGCTGACGGTGAGTTGGCGGGCAGCAGCCGCCGTCTCCACCTCTGCATTCGGGTTCTCCTCCCTGGCTCGGAGCTTGGCCTCCACGCTTGCGCCCTCCTGGACGGTGCCACCGTACCCAGTTGCGGCACAGAACATGCGATAGACGGGGACTGCGCCGTACGTCGCGCCGACCAGCGCCACCGTCATGCCGACCTGATGGTGTAGGATGGGATTGTATCGGATGATAGTCTGCTTGGGTGTATCAATAGCAAGCAAAGGGTGAAGTGGTGCAGATCAGAGTGTCGCCAGGGATGCAACTGTATAAGCGGCCAAAAGGGAATGCTTTGACCACGAACACCAACAGTATACCTCAGCATAATTGCAATTGCCCCCATTGCCAGCCCGGCCTCCCTGGGCATGGCAGGCCACACAGGCATTTCCCCCTCAATCTCCGTCCTTGACACCGCACCAAGTACAAGGCATGCTCAGAGGATGCTGCTTTCGTCCTCTCATACACATGTTGAGGACCGTGCAGGGACCTTCCAGTGGTGAAAAGTCTGCGCGCTATTCGTCGCTGGGTATCATGAAAGACCTGAGGAGGCAGTTCTCCCCTTACAAGCGCGGTGATGGCGCCAGACGGCACGGGTCCTCGAAGATTTATCTGGCAAACACCCCTTATGGCATGTCTGTGCAGGTTTTTGAACCTTCTCAGCATGCCGAGGGAGGGGCGTGACCACTCGCACTGCCGTGCAGGGGACACGCAGCCCGGCCGAGTGTTGGTGTTGGTCTGACCAGCAGGTCGGTGCTTTGTTTACAATTGCATCAAGGAATGTAAAATCACACCAATTTCATCGTCGTGGGGTTTTGCTTCCTCGAGGGAAGTGCACAGTAGCCTATGAAAATGTGTCGCGCCCTCTGCCACGAGATCATATTGTCGATTGTGCGTGCGGTGGAAACGGAAGAATTCCAGAAGCCCAATCCCAAACAGGCAGGTACTGTCATACTTTGAGCATGGCAGGAGGGACCCGATGTTTGTGAAGCAGCAGGTGGGTCATGGTGGAGGGGTCGGTGCATGCATAAGGCCGAGACCTTTGGGAAGGGAACTGGGCGCCCCTGCAATGAAGGATACTTCCCATCGCCTGGAGCTTTGTAAACCTGGGCTCGACTCCACTCCTCAACATGCCCCACCCCTGGAGCAGGAAGGCCTTGAATTAAATGCTACACATATGCTGCGATATTTTGTCTAGCTCCTCTTCGACGACGATGTGTCCTTAGGGACAGGCACCTGCGGTCCCCGCTGCCCCAGCCAGCATGTGCCACAACATCGACAGCTCCTCGGCCGTCTGTTCCAGCCAGGATTTCCCGGTATGACACCCAAGATAAGCGCGGAGGCCATGGAGGTCCCCATCCAGCTCCCGAAATCCCCTCCCTCGCCCTTCGCCTCGGCTGCCCGGGCCGCGACGGAGGGCCGGGGAGTGGCTGAGATGGGGGCCTTCGACGCCCAGCGAATCGACCGGGCACCCCTCCACCCCAGCTCCGCGCCCATCGACCCCTCCAAAGCCCTCGGAGAACCCGTCACGGGGCCCGGGGGCGGGGGCTCGGAGGCCTGCCCGTCCCCCTCCACCAACACCTCCCCCGGCACCCCTGGGAGGCTGCCACCCCCCCACCCACCCCGCGCCGAGCCCCCGAACCCCTACGCCCCCAGGGCATCCCCAGCCCTGCCCAGGAGCCCAGTGACGACAAACGCCTGGCAGGTGCTGCGCCAGCGCATCCTGCGGCCCACCCGGAACCTGAGCCTGGACGGCAACGAGGGCCGGCGCGCAGCCCCAGGCCCAGGGGACGCCCATGGTGACGGGGACGGCAAGTTTTCGTGGCGCAACATGTCCATCTCTGGCTGGACGAGGCCCAGCATCTCGGCGGGGCCCGGGGGTGGACAGCCTGTGCAGGTCCAGCAGCCACAGACAGCCGAAGGTGATCCGCGAGGGATTTGGATGCAGGTTTGGGTGGTGTAGGGCGGGGAGGTCACGAGGGCACGATGGGCCGGCACAGCATGAGCCATCGTCGCTGGATGTCCCACCTGCTCCCTCTCTGTGTCGAGCACATCTGCATGGCAAGGCCACATCAGGCGCATGGCATGTGGTGGAGTCATTGGGAGCAGACTCCCGGGAGGGTGACATGGCCCCCCCCCCCCAAATGCCCTCCTGCTTGCCACGCCGTTGTCAAGCGGATTCCTTGCTGTCCCCAATGCCTCTCAATCGCCACCGTGCCGAGCATCCCCAACCCCTCCCCTTCAAATTCCTCCCTTTCCTTCCACCCCAGGCCACGCGCGCGCGGCCGCACAGTACATCCTGGACTCGCCGCGGACCTCGGCCAACCCCGCGGCGCCCACCGTGGCCGAGCGCGCGGCGGCGGCGGCGCGCACCCTTCCCCTGCTCACCCCCTTCGTCCCCGGCACGCTGCGCCGCCAGCTGGCCAGCAACGTCCCGCGCCAGCTGCCCAGCCTGGCGGCCGCCATGGCCGCGCCGGACGGCGCGCCCGCGCCCGCCGTCTCGCAGGCCATGCTCCCCGCGCTGCAGCGCCAGCTGGGCGCGGTCATGATCGCCGACGTCACCGGCTTCACCGCGCTGACGGAGCTGCTGAGTCAGCAGGGCAGCGTGGGCCTGGAGCTGCTAACCAAGTGCATGAACCGCTACTTCACGCAGGTACGATGTTTGTGGGGGACTGGGGGGTCCTGTGGTGGGTGCCGGGGACAAAGCGGGGCGGGCGCGGGCCGGGGGGGGCGAGCCAGCGCCCAAGGCATCTGAGATGCCGGGAGATCCTTGTGACCTGACACTCGCCACGTTGCCGACCCCTGGCCCCCCTCTTACCACTCCTCGCAAGCCCTTACACCCCCCAAAATCTCCAGGTGATCGACCAGATCCTGCTGTACGGCGGCGACGTCATGCGCTTCGCGGGCGATTCCATGATCGTACTGTTTGCGCCCACGCCCGAGGAGGCCAGCTCCTCCCTGGACGGCGGGCTGCAGTGCGCGCTGCTGCGCGCCGTGGCCTGCGCCTACACGCTGACCCAGCGCTACGGCGCCATGCGCATGCTGCCCAACGGCGACGTCGTGGAGTACGTGGCGGAGGAGTGCGGCGCGCCAGGCGGCGGCGGCGGCGACGGCGCCGAGGGCGCCGGCCGCGACGGCGACGCCTCCGACCTGGGCGCGCCGCGCTCCTCGGCGGCGGGCGGCGAGCGCCTGCTGAGCCCCGTGGGCAGCCTGCTGGGCAATGCGGGGCGCCCCGTGGCGGCCACGCTGCTGGGCGCCGCCGACTCGGTGACCATCGCGGTGGAGGGCATCCTGGTAGGCGCCGCCTCGGCCGCCAGCAAGTCCATGGCGCGGCACCGTGAGCGCAGCGGCGCGCGCAACGCCGCCGCGCTGTCCGCCGCCATGGCAGCCGCGCGCGACGGCGCGGGGGCGGGTGCGGGCGTGGCCTCGCCGCCCTCCTATGCCAGCGGCGAGCTGGAGTCGGCCTCCTCTGACGCGGGGGCCAGCCAGCGGGAGGCCAGCCTGCCCGGCACGGTGCCCTCCTCGGGCAACACCGAGGCCGGCGCGCCGCTGCGCGCGGGCGCCGAGCGCCTGCACACCCGCCACGCCAGCTCGGGCTCGGCGGGCAGCGACCCTGACGCGCCGGGGGCCGGTCAACCCAGCGGCGAGGCGGGCAAGGAGGCGTCGTCGCTGGCGGTGCCGGCGGCGGCGCCGGCAGCCAATGCCGAGCCGCCCTCGTCGGGCAGTGGGGCCACGGCGGCGACGTCCTCGGCCACGCCGCCGCCGCCCGACGCCGGCACCGCACCCCTGGGGCCCAGCCTGGCGCAGGAGCGCGCGCTGCAGGAGATGGCGCTGGCGCGCCTGGCAGAGTACACGGGATCGCTCAAGTCGGTGCGGCCGCCGGAGCTGCCGGCGCACCGCGGCGCGCGCGCGCCGCCCCCTGGTGCCCCCGCCTCGCGCTCGCTGCCGGCGGGCGGCGCCGACGGGCCGGCGGGCGAGGGCGCTGAGGGGGGTGCTCCGATCCGTGTGTCGGCCTCTGAGCCGGTCATGGCCCGGCCCACCAGCAACGGCGGCAGCGGTTCGACACCCCACCTGCCGCACGCGCCGTCCTCGTGGGACGGGCGCGTCTCGTCTCTCGCCTCCCTCAGCTCACAGTCGTCCTACACCTCGGCCTACGGCGGCGGGCGCGCGGGGTCGGGCCAGTTTGGCGGCGGTGGGCCGCGCTCCTCCCAGCCCACCATCACCGAGGAGGAGGCGCGCAGCGAGGCCGGCACCTCCGCCGCGGGCGAGGGCGCGCCCTCCAGCGCGGGCGGAGCCACGCCCGGCCGCGGCCTGCAGGCCGAGCGGTCGGGCCCCTCCGATGCGCCCTCCTCGGATGTGACCTTCCCGGACCTGCCCCCGCTGCGTACGCCCAGCGGCACGGGCGCCGGCCGCGGCCGCGGCGCCGGCGTGTCCCGCCAGGTCACCCGCTTCTCGCTGGCGGAGGGCGCGGGCGCCGCGCCGGGCGCAGGCGTGCCCGAGTCGCGCCAGCGCTGGTCGCTGGGCGGCGTCGTGCGCTCCGCCAAGGGCCTGCTGGGCGGCGTGGGGCGGGCCGTCACGCCGCACGGCTCGCGGCGCGAGAGGCGCGAGGCGGTGGAGCGGCGCGGGCCGCCGCCACGCGGCGCGGCTGGGCCTTACGCCGCGCCGCGCGAGACCGTCAGCTCCTCCTCCAGCCTGGTGGGCATGGCCAGCCTGGCCCAGCTGTCGGACCAGCTGGGCGATTACTCGGCCCGTGTGGCCAGCACCTCCAGCCCCCTGGGCTCCGGCGGCGCCGGCGGCGAGTCCGGCGCCGGCG